CGTGCTGTCAAACCTACACTAGCAAGGAGATCGGGCTGAAACTATAGCTACAAGCTATCCAAGGATGGTACTATAGAATGTCACCTCAAGGTAGGCCTAGTGGCGTCATCTCTTGGTTAGGCCGGAAACTTATCAATCCACCCTCGTAGACCTGTAAGACTGGTACCACAGTTAAATAATTGCAAAACTGGACAGAACTTTAGTACCTTGTACTTGAAGCACTTGCTTAGCGATTTGAATCTAATTGCTTTGGAAATAATTGGTAATTTGATGTCCTTAATTTTTAAAATGCAATTGGGGTTTCAAAAGTTAATGCGCTTTTAGTAAGAGCTTTGAGTTTAAGTTTTTTTGATGAGAACTCTGCGCAGCTCTGACTAGTTACGTTTATTTCTGAAATTTTGGAACTTTGGGAATCCCTTTAACTGATCTAGTTCATTTACCTATAATCAGCAGTCACCATTTTTGTGGCGTTTGGAAGATGCAGATTTACAAACTTACCTTATTTTGATACTGGAATCTGAAGAAATGTCTAACAGACTTATGATGAATAATGTTCAGCCAAATGAAATCTCAAACAAACAAACTATCGTATGGATATTTCTGCGATTGCAGATAGACATGAAAAATCATATTTATACTCTATTAGAAATGAGCGAAAAGTCTGCTTCATTATACCAAACAGACAATCATGATGAGGAGGATACCGTGGATAGAGAAGGTTAGAAATGAAGAGGTATTAGAAAGAATAGAAGAATAGAGGACTCTATGGAAGTCAGCAATAGTAGGGCACCTTCTCATTCCTGAGAACAACATTGATGCATTATTTGATTTAATCTTTTTTTTTGTACATTATTCACAACATACTACATGAATGATTCGACAAACACGACATCGTTGTAAACATTATACGCTTGTAGGCTGGGTAAGGCTCCCCTTTGCTAATTTTTCCTAACATCTATTCCATAGATATATTATATAACATTTTTGCTTCTTTTTCTCTATTCAGTTCGTATTCGCGGAAATTTGTTTATTCAAAAGTTAGAATGTACACAGCAGGTGTGTGCAAGCGTGGCATTAGATTTATAGGAACTTGACTAAACAAGCTGGTAATAGTAATGTGCACTGTGTCTGCGAATTGTTTTACAAAGTGGTTGGCTATAAAGTTGGTGGCAGTATCGCGACACTTCTCGCTTACTGGATATGCTCATTATTGGAGATCTATTTTAAACTCTTCCGGCACTTTTTCTGAAATAAAACACTTGCCAACTATTCAGACTGACTTACGTAACATTGTAAATCAATTTCCTTTATGTGTATAAGGATGCTTTTTAACATATGAATGAAGGATAATAAGAAATGGAAATGAATTCACGAATTCTCAGTTATTTCAAATTCATTGTCTAGTTATCTTTGCAAGAAACTTTCTTCCTGATTATGAATCTTAGTTATTTATATACCTATACTTTATTAAAACTATGAAACTGCATTCAGACAATTTTTTTGAAGGCAGGAATTGCAAGCATTTCTCTTAGTTTTACCTTTCAGATTAACCATGTAAAGCACTCCATAATTCAGAACCACGAGGTATAATACGTAGGAATCCCAGTGTAATGACCCATTAACTCGTAACAACGTAAAATTTAAAACCACAAGCAGTCAACTTCTCATAATCCGTCTGTACTTTGCTTAGTTCCAAATTATGCAACGCTTTTATTTAATGATGCAAAAGTATTTATAAGTTGGCCAAATTGATTTTTGCGATCTCTTCTCGATGAACATCATTGCAATGTTACCCCTTCCTGACCCAGGGCAGTCGAATAGTTGGGCATCACAGGAGGAAATAATCATGCGGTGCAAAACATTCTATGCAAGTACGATGAAGGTCATTAAAGCGTCTTGGGTTGAATGGATATTAAAATCTACAACTGTCACTCTTGGTCCTTGACTTAACTCCTCCCAATTTTTCAGTTAAAGGCTTAAATATCTTCTATATACCTATACTTCTCCGAGCTGCAAGGCCTACAGGTTTAGACCATTGCTTAGCATTCGGAATGACACTAGTTCGATTGCGGGTCCAATGTTTTCTGTTGTTTCCTTGGATCACTTAGGCAAATGCTGAGACAGCAATAATAATATTCGACAGACATTTCACTTTCTTCCATCTTGATTTCCGCCCATCTCATCTTTGTCACCCTCAATCACCATTCACCCATTTCCACGATTCCTAAAAGACGCTGAAGAGGGCATTTTTTTTCTCTTTACCTATACTTCCATGCTATTTATTTATCTACTTCCAATGTTACGCTAACCAAACCTTTCATCAAATACAAAACAAATTACCAACTACGGTAAAGAACAGTGAAAGTGAATTCGACCGTGTCGGCTGGTGGTAGCGACAGACAGAATAATGTGTGGTACATTTAGGTGTACGTGAAGTAAGTTCTTCAGCAGCAGTCGAGTTTGTTTGTTGGCAGGTTGTGGTCGAAGTTGGTGAAGAGTGGCGACGGACGGCGAAGGCCTCGTCGACGAACCCCTCCAGCAAGCTTAGAAAACACCTGCTGCACACACGCTGCCGATGCCGTTGTCGTCGTCGACATCTATCGCCAGTTTTAGGGGAGCAACCTGGTCAATAATGTTGCAAGTTCCATAAAACGCTACTGTTTCTCGTTCCGTATCGTGGTTTTTGTTCGTCCTGTTTCTGTTGCTGTTGTTCTCTTTTAATCAAGTTAGTGTTGCCGTAATAGTCAACACAGTCAGCTCGGTAAATTTACTAGACTTAAAATCCGCGCTCACGTACGTACAACAAGCAGTGTAATGTGTTGCTGAGTGCTCGTGGATAAGGTCAGTGATATTGCAAGAATAAATAAATCATACGTGGACGAACGTCAAGTTCAACTACCTACTCAGTTGTGGATTTCCACAGTCGGCTATTGAGGATATTGTTTATCAAAAATGGATGTTGATTTTTTGAAAATAATGTCTTATCAGCAAGGACCTCTGTTTTATCACGACTCATGGATTATCCAATACTTCTTTTAAGGTAATTAACGTCGCATTATACAATTAAAGAAAATAAAACTTTAGTTAAAAGTTTTGTTAAATTCGAGGTACCTATATGAGAGAATTTATTTTCTTTTGAACAAGAGAAACTCGAAGTACCTACTTAATTCTTTATTGTAGTGATTTCACGTATTTTTGTAGATTAAAAGGTTCTGGTTTAATATTAAAAAGAGTTCAGCAACTTGCAACTGCTGTCTGGCTTTCGTTACAATCAATATAAAAAGAGTATTATTTTAAGCAAATGAAACTGAAAGTAGTCTCCGACATTCAGACGGACGATATTTGTTTTTACTCATGGAACATTTGAGAATATCGAAAAATAAGAAAGTCGTTATTTAACAAATAAATAAATGATAAATATTTGGGGGTAATAGTTTTATTATTGCAACCTACCATAAGGTTTCGCATATAATGTATGAGGCTTCATCAGGGTAGATTGGTAATTACAAACATTAATTAGTAATTAAACCGAGGGAAGCCTTTAAAGGTATACATAGGAATTGGTTGAAAGGAAAACGAGTTTTTACCCTCAAATTAAGTTTTATTTCCATGGTTATACCTTAACAAGGGAAAGAAATAGAAATTTTGATCTGTCTTTTTTACTTAAAATGTCTAAAAAACTTATAGGTATGTCACACTTGTCATAAGCAAATACATATGCACCCTTTTTCAAATAAAGCGCATAGCATTTTGGTATTTCTACCTTTGTTTTGTTTTTAGGTGTATTACCATGCAGGTAAGCACTCAGTCACTTAACACCGTTTAAATTAAGACGGCTTTGACAAGGTCCAGCTTAATTTTCCATTCCTTTCCAGCAACTTTTCTTGCTCTAAAATCCTTGACAAGTCATATTGTACCTACCTTCTCAATATTAACCAGCAACTCTGGCTTGTTCTTATCGATTGATAAGTACTTTTGCTCGTCGATATTGGGTGCATTTAATATAGTGACGACGATGTCTTTATAATTGCGTCGCCTACGTCATCTTCTAATTACCAATACTAAAGCGCGTGCTTTCATGCCGAAATTTATAAAATTAGTAATCAAAATTAAACTTGGCTGTAATAATTCTAAAGTGGTAATGATAGTCCTGGAGCCGGTAACATTGAAAGTACCGTCATCGCGGAATTGTAAAATTAAAAAAAATGATAATTGAAAATTATACGAAAAAAATGGCCGAAAGTGTATTAGAAAAATTGTTTATAATTAAAAAGAATAAATGGTTTACCATTATCGCGAATTTTAAAGAATTGTACTGTATTTGAAAGGAAATTTGTTTAGTTAAAAGAAAAAAATTAGCTTAGCAATATTTTTTAGCCGAAAGGGCACGGCATACCTACTTAAAGGGTGTGAAAGAGGGTAAAATTTCACCATTACACACCATCACACTTTTTTTTAATTTTACGTGTTTTAAAGTGATTAACAAAAATATCTTGGTATGCATGTCTACAAACTGCCGAAAGTATCTGGCATATCAATTCTATAATTTTATTTTAGAGTAAATATGNCTCGTGCTCGCTACAATATAATTTAAGAAGTTTCTAGAAGACAATTGGATTCATAAATAGGTATAAGCGTACCTTTAATTGTCTTTCTCTTAATAACATACACTACGTGTGATCAGTACTCCAGAAAAATTAAGGTAGAAGAAGATACAACAAGATAAAAGAAATAGAATGGGTCATCTCACACCACTCAATGATATATACATATAAACATGAGGGTAATGACCTTACTCAAAGCCCCAACTGCTCCGGCAATGATGACGCATATTATGATCATCACGTCCGCATATTGTGCATTTGAATACATTGTTTTTTGTAAGATATTTTCACACTTCGCATATTTTTGTATTTTGTAGTCACAGCAGTAGCTTTCTCAATCGAATAGTAGGTACGGAGGCTACTACTAATAATCGTCACACGTGTCTGTGTACCAGCTGTTGCGAAGGCCACGAGTAGGAATGATTTCGTCACTTGACGCTTGTTTTAACGAAAGGTGAAAAGGTAACACCGCTGCCAAACCGGCATTGTCGGCTCGTTAACTGCGGTACTTTTTGAGCACAATATTTACGCCCCTTACGTTGTGACGCTATCACGAGATGTAGTTTGCAATGCCTCCAGATTCTACCTTTCAAATATTCTGAAATAGTGATCAAGCAGGTATATGTAGTGTCGAAAGGAATAGCCAAGCTTAGTAGGGACTGTTCCTAAATGGATTTTCTCGACCTAAAAACTTTTAGAATAATTGACAACTAAATGTTACAGTTTGAAATCAAGATCATTTTAAGGAGTTTTGCTTACTATAAAATTTAACATAGCGCATTCACATTTTTACGTATTTTTGGTAAGACTCTGCTACAAGTTAGAAACTGCGAGGTTTTCACATTGATATACTTCTTTATGGTAGGTATACTGTGCAATGAATAATTGCAACTTTCACTCTATTTACTTTTACATACTATGTACTGGTCGTGTCCTTGGCGACTTGGACATAGGTCCGTTACATAAGCTACTAATTGTTGCTATTTTTACAGAGACAATTGGTAGACACTTTTAAAATTCTCTCTAAATAATGTAAAACTTGGAACTTCACATGTTGAAGTCTACAGATTTTATAAGATAATCTGAGTTTTGAATAGTCAAATCACCAACTAATTAAAAGATTTATCATCATCATCATAAGGTCGTCAGTCCTAAAACTGGTCGGACACGCACCTTCACTCTTTCATATCCTGAGCTAATCTTCGCATTTCCTTGAAATTTATAAAAGAGAATGCTGATAATATTGGCGCACAATAAAAATAGGTAAGTTACTCACTATGCCTCGACTAGAAACATTCAGATGAATTCGGACCACTATATGAAAATTCAGTCAGGCTACTTTTAAGCCCTTTTGTGGAGATTATAATAATATGGTAATTAAAATAAATTTAAAAAATATGTCTCAAAATTTATAAAATTTCTCGTAGACTCATATGCTAATTAAACCATTCAATATGCTTTGATCTCCCTTGATATTTTCAAACAGAGATTATTTTTAAAAATCAACATGCTAATTATTACTAATTATTTGTTAAAGAAAATAATGCACTTAACATTGAAAATAGTTCTTGCCCAGCAATTTATCGAGAAGTCAGAAGTAGATAGTAAGCAGTTCAACAAGTAGATATCCATCTATTTAAATGGACCTTGTTGATTATATTGAATCCACCAAATTTAGCATTGTACTACAGATAGGTTTACCGCGCCATTTGTAGGATTTCATAAGTCGAAAGTGTTCACGCGAAACAGCTATCAATGTACAATTGAAGTACATTCTTTTTGTATATGTTAAATAGTTGCCCAAAGAAAACGAATGTTTACATCAGCGAGCCTGTAATATACCCATTGTGAGTTAATATTGTATACAGTAATTACGTAATGAAACTCACAGTAACATCTTGAAAACAGGTGAAGAAATGAAGAATGCGTAGTGCTTTATCATGAAATAAAAAATGGAATTTGTTTCCCACAGCTGGCGATTAACATTTCGTATTGTCTTCAAATTTACCCATTACTTCCTTATAAATGTTACCTGTGGTTGTTACGTATTTTATTGACATAAATTCACGGCAAATCAGTTCACACGAATTTCACGGTAAATTTATTGGCTTACATCGGGAAATGCTGAGATGCAGAAAAATTCTTATTTGTATGCATTTTCGCTGTACCTACTTAAAGAATGCAATCATGCATTTACAAGAAAATCTGCTGGTTATGTTGCAGCCTATCGTCAAGAATTTAAGCGATATGTGTAATATGTAGATGTATTCATCTTTATCATAAGGTCGTGAGTCCGAAGACTGGTAGGAAACTATTTTCTATCCTGAGCTTAATTTTGCATTTCCTGGAAAGTAAAAAAAAGGAACCATTTGGGTACCTTATTTTCGTCAGCTACTAATGCTGGTGGGCGCGGAGTCAGTCCCTCCGGACTACGCCGGAGGAGAGGGCGGAAGGTCCTGTTCAGCCTCTTTAAGGAATCGTGGGAATGAGTGGATGGTGGTTAGGGTGAGAAAGATAAAACAGACGAAACGAACATAGAAGAGTGTGAAAGATTATCTGTGGAACATTACTGACTTCGTATTTGCCTAAGTGAACCAAGAAAACCACAGAAAACCTTGATCCAGGTTCAAATCGGCGTCCACCCGAGTGCTGAGCAAAGATATAAACTAGGGATGGGCCCGGTACTCGACGGGTCCAGCATTTAATGAAAAGCCTGCCCGAACGAAGATACAATTTATTAATAACCAGTGCATCTTTAGTATAAACTTCTAAGTTTCTTAACCATTTGCGAACAGTAATCCAATCCAGATCTTCCTCTGCCTCTTTGTTTCTACTGCTAGTATGTCTTAAAAGTTCTCCTCCGTCTTATCATTCCTTTTCCTCATTGACTTCCATAGCGCCCTCTGTTCTTCTACTTATTTCAATGCATACGTTCTCATTTCACATAACTTCTGTCCAAGCTATTTTCTTCATCCATTTTTAATACCACCCCATTGTCTACGTTTCACACAAGTAATTTTTTACATTACTTTTCAGTAAAAACTACGCAGTTAAACCATATAAATTCAGTATCATTATACAGACAATATTTTTCCTAATTGTCTTAAACAAAGTATCAGTTGAAATAATTCATTATTAATTTATATTTTTATTAAATCTGTACATTTACCACTACTATACTATAGGTAGATAATATAAGTTGAAGCTTACAGTACCCCGAGCACTTTATAACTTTAGTATTTGCGACCAAAGATGTCGCAACGATGTTAATTACTTAGTACTGTTGTAAATCTGAGGTTGTGTGTGTCCACAAAATTCTGTTGGAGAATATAAAAAAAATCACCAAGCTATTTATTTGCATGTGCATACTTGCATACTTGCCCATTAGTAGGTACACTTTATAATATTGCTTGAATTTGAGAATTATCCGTTCATG